TACTGAAATATGTGGTCGTTGGTTTGTTCGCTGAGGGACACTTTGATAGCAAACGTTTCATCGCCAATCTAGGTGACATCCTCAGTGCGTTATCAGGGAATATGGTGGAGCTCAGCGATGGGTTGTACGTTGTATGCGTTAATATACATCTGCTAGCCAGGGTTGACCTACGATCACAGTTGGTTGTTCGGTCGGTCGATTCCATTGGTTGTTATGTTATCCTGTGTCCTGATTGATCGATGGTTACGTGAAATGTGAGCCTGGCCTCCCTTGCCCTGGTGCTCGGATCGATTCTGGAGTGACCTCTGTTGTTGTTCTCTCTGGGTTCCGGCTTGTGACCTCTGTTGATCCGAATCCAAGCAGTTCCTTGCTTCTTGGTTTGTGAATCCGATATTTGGCTCTCCTTGAGTATTCTGGTGGAGGAGTTGGTTGCACGTAGTGCTCCGTAAATTGGGTCCAGTTCAATGCATCCGTCGATCCCATCAGCCGTAGAGTACCATGCTTCCAGAAATTCCCTTCTGTGTCTCGTATTCCCATATGTCAATATTTTCACGTCCTCCAGATTGAATTTGTGACCTTCTTGGTCTTGGTGTATAGATATCGAATGATGGAGGTCATGTCTCCTGACAGCCGCGTTGTGTTCATTCATTCGTGTGAATAATTATGTCCCAGTTTGTCTAACGCACAGGTTGTTTGAGTTGTTGCAGTTGATTTGGTTAATCACATTGTTCCTCTTGGTTTTGTCTCGGATGTCATCGGTCTTGAGATTAGTTTCCTTAGAGTAGCATTCAGTTTTTAAGCTATGATGATTCCTTTTTGAGCTAATAACCTGAGTGCATGTCCTGATTTACTCTTGGTGTGAGGCAAAACTACCCATCTGGTGGCTTTTTCTTGCTAATGCTGCTGCTGAGATGTTTTCTTCTTCAAGCTTCTCTTGATAAAATCCCTTGGATATCAATTGTTCTCGGACACTCTGAATAGGTAGCTTTCTCCCTTTTTCCGTAATTCTGTGGTTCTGCAGTGCTTCTCCGCTCTTTTGAACAAGGCTTGGACGCAGCTCTTCTTGTGGCTCACTGGATGATTGATGCTGTAGTTCAGTATTTGATCCATAGGCGTCTCTTTCCGATATACGTAGGTTTCCAGTGTCTAATGCACCCTCCAGTTCATTAAAACGTCCGCGAGTAGTAGTCGGTTGTTACTTCCAGTTTGATTGTAAACTTGAAATCTTCAAACGTGGTGTTGAGTAGTTCGTGTGTTCTGTGTCATTTATATCGTTTCATGATGACAACGGTGTCGTCTGCGTAGCGGATCCACAGATTTGGATTGACGACTGATAGCACTGATATCGCTCTAATCTTTACACCACTGCCTTAGTGATAGCCCCTGATATTGGGGATCCCATTGGAGTCCGTTTCAGCTGTTGATATATTTGCCTATCAAAGAAAAGTATGTATACATGCAGAAGTCCAGCACCCTGCATATTCTTTCGGGTTTCATGGCTCTTCTCGTGTTTGGAATATTCCGAAGCAGTTCTATACGTTAGCTCTGGCGAGGTTGTGGTTGATTGAAGTTATCGGTGATGTGACATCAAGTGAAAGCACCATTTCGTCGCCTTCTATACTGACGTCCCTAGTCTGTGAAGAAATTGGCTGGCATATATATTTGCACGTTCCGATCCGGATACCAAGTGTTTCAATCTTCTCCATGATTCTTTTGCCAGTTTTATGATGGAGTTCCCGGAAGTGAAACGATTGGTGGAATTGGAGTTTCCCCTTTGTTCACCTTTCGTAGTCTGTAGAATTGTGCAATCCTGGTGTCGTCGGCTTCCAATTTCCATCCTTCCTGGCTGGTTATCTCGTGTGTCGCTTGTGGTTGCTTGAGCATTGGTTGATGGTTCAATTGATGGAGTTTGAAGTTGTGTCATGATTGATTGACCTGCAGGTCGCGATGTCATTTAGCAGTTGTTTGACCTTTTCCATGTATCGATGGTTACGTGAAATGTGAGCCTGGCCTCCCTTGCCCTGGTGCTCGGATCGATTCTGGAGTGACCTCTGTTGTTGTTCTCTCTGGGTTCCGGCTTGTGACCTCTGTTGATCCGAATCCAAGCAGTTCCTTGCTTCTTGGTTTGTGAATCCGATATTTGGCTCTCCTTGAGTATTCTGGTGGAGGAGTTGGTTGCACGTAGTGCTCCGTAAATTGGGTCCAGTTCAATGCATCCGTCGATCCCATCAGCCGTAGAGTACCATGCTTCCAGAAATTCCCGGTATAAATGAGCATTGTTGTTGCATGAGCCAATACAGACGTACAGGTCCGCTACTACTTCAACGGTGGGTACTGCTGATGGCTGCATGCGAGTAGTATGTTTTCTCGTAAATGTCTCGTATTCCCATATGTCAATATTTTCACGTCCTCCAGATTGAATTTGTGACCTTCTTGGTCTTGGTGTATAGATATCGATGATGGAGGGTCATGTCTCCTGACAGCCGCGTTGTGTTCATTCATTCGTGTGAATAATTATGTCCCAGTTTGTCTAACGCACAGGTTGTTGCAGTTGTTGCAGTTGATTTGGTTAATCACATTGTTCCTCTTGGTTTTGTCTCGGATGTCATCGGTCTTGAGATTAGTTTCCTTAGAGTAGCATTCAGTTTTTAAGCTATGATGATTCCTTTTTGAGCTAATAACCTGAGTGCATGTCCTGATTTACTCTTGGTGTGAGGCAAAACTACCCATCTGGTGGCTTTTTCTTGCTAATGCTGCTGCTGAGATGTTTTCTTCTTCAAGCTTCTCTTGATAAAATCCCTTGGATATCAATTGTTCTCGGACACTCTGAATAGGTAGCTTTCTCCCTTTTTCCGTAACTCTGTGGTTCTGCAGTGCTTCTCCGCTCTCTTGAACAGGGCTTGGACGCAGCTCTTCTTGTGGCTCACTGGATAATTGATGCTGTAGTTCAGTATTTGATCCATAGGCGTCTCTTTCCGATATACGTAGGTTCCCAGTGTCTAATGCACCCTCCAGTTCATTAAAACGTCCGCGAGTAGTAGTCGGTTGTTACTTCCAGTTTGATTGTAAACTTGAAATCTTCAAACGTGGTGTTGAGTAGTTCGTGTGTTCTGTGTCATTTATATCGTTTCATGATGACAACGGTGTCGTCTGCGTAGCGGATCCACAGATTTGGATTGACGACTGATAGCACTGATATCGCTCTAATCTTTACACCACTGCCTTAGTGATAGCCCCTGATATTGGGGATCCCATTGGAGTCCGTTTCAGCTGTTGATATATTTGCCTATCAAAGAAAAGTATGTATACATGCAAAAGTCCAGCACCCTGCATATTCTTTCGGGTTTCATGGCTCTTCTCGTGTTTGGAATATTCCGAAGCAGTTCTATACGTTAGCTCTGGCGAGGTTGTGGTTGATTGAAGTTATCGGTGATGTGACATCAAGTGAAAGCACCATTTCGTCGCCTTCTATACTGACGTCCCTAGTCTGTGAAGAAATTGGCTGGCATATATATTTGCACGTTCCGATCCGGATACCAAGTGTTTCAATCTTCTCCATGATTCTTTTGCCAGTTTTATGATGGAGTTCCCGGAAGTGAAACGATTGGTGGAATTGGAGTTTCCCCTTTGTTCACCTTTCGTAGTCTGTAGAATTGTGCAATCCTGGTGTCGTCGGCTTCCAATTTCCATCCTTCCTGGCTGGTTATCTCGTGTGTCGCTTGTGGTTGCTTGAGCATTGGTTGATGGTTCAATTGATGGAGTTTGAAGTTGTGTCATGATTGATTGACCTGCAGGTCGCGATGTCATTTAGCAGTTGTTTGACCTTTTCGATGTAATCTGGCTCGCCCATTACTACTGCGCTGCGTCCTGTGTCTGCCGGTAATGTAATGGTCGTTCTTTAGATTTATGGGTGCGTCTCATTCTTTTTGGGAAGCAGTTACATATTTCTGCTGGTACAGTTTTCTGCCGAATCTGTTGTTGAACCTCCTCGGACATTCCGTTTGATTTCAAGGGGTGTTCCGGGCTGGCTACGTAACGGTTGCGTCCTCAAAAACGAAGTTGAGGCCTTTCATTGGAAGTTCTTGTTCAACTGAGCTGAGTTGGCGGTTAGATAAGTTTTTGGTCCGAACGTCGTAATTGTTGTGTTTATTGTTTCTCGGGAACTTTCGAAATTTTGTTTTCATGGCTGCCCTCCGTTTGATCCTGTCATTGTCTACTCGGCGTCCGATTGCTGTTTCAAATTCTGCCAGGCGGTATGAGCCGGATTTAGCTAGGGGATTTGTCTTGCTTTCAGTACTTACTCTTTCTTATTTTCTGAGACGATTGTGGGCGTGTGTTGTCGCCAACTTCATTATTCGTTTGTCAAACTGTCTTGCTAGGGCCCAAGCTTGCTTGTGGTCTAGTGCCGGTCTGTGAATCCTTAATGGTACCAAATTCCTACGTATACGTTATTGGAGGAAGTATATTTGTTCGAATGTAGGGTCTTGTGTGCGGGCGAATTTCTCCAAATTTCTTTGAGCGTTGTACACCCAAATTGGTTTGCTATAGAAGAAAATGTTGGTAGCTCAGGTAGCATAGATGGTCGTTGTTTTTTTCGCTAGTTTTTCTGCTCCACCATGCTCTTTAACAACGCTTGATGATGTCACATTGATTGGTGATCAAATGTTTGCAATCAAATTGCCCAGCTGAGCTCAGCGAAAAAACCAGCGATCACCTATGCTACCTGAGCTACCATGTGTACGAACTATATACTGCGTCATCTATGACTCCAGTTCAATAACTTTGTTCCTCGCAGGTCAAACAGTAAATTCTTTCGTTGGTATTCTCGTATATTCATCTTCAAAGGTGTGCTCAATATTTCCATTTGTTACTCGACTGGGAACCTTTGACGCCTGTAACCTGATTGTAAGAATCAACAAAATCGGTTATAGGGCAGTTTGGCGAAAAGTTAGAAAGTACAACGGTCGTAAACACGACATTGAAAGGCGAGTTGAACTTACTCGTTTCAGCGGGCCAATTAGAACGTCCGTACTTCCAAAATCCTTAGTTGCCATACTTCGACTTAGATTGCCTATCAACTCTCGGCATAGCGTGTGGCTCACCTGAAAATAGAAAATTTAGAAGCTTGCCAACCAAAGATCAACCTATCGAAGAGACATTTTGAGAGAATAAAGAACCCAATGTTGGTGCCTGACCGCACGACCTGGCTCATAAGGTCTCCATGCGACCTTGTTACGTAGTCATCCAAAAAACGCCTTTGTGCTAATTTTCTCTAAAGGTCGTAACAAACGCAATGCATATAGGTTTATTGCCACCCGAATAACAACAGTTTGTTTGCTATAATTTCCTGATTACAGCATGATTTAAAACAAAATGTCACGTGGATTAAATGTTACATTCAACGCATAATGTTATCATTAGTCTGTTACTGAAAATAGGACAAGTGTAGCGATAGTGCATAACTGTATCCATATTATACGTTTCCAAAACTGCAGCGGCTAAATCCGATTGAAAGGCTGACTAAAAATAATCAAGCCACATGGACGATTTCAGAACAGAATTGCTTTTATCTGACGGACTATACGTTGGAGATAAATTTTAACCAAAAACGTTCCAATCTGACAAAATAGACAAACCTGTAAATGTCCTGAAATAATTAAAGTAGTAGAAAATGCATTTTGCAAGATAGATACCATAAAATTCACTTTTTAGGGGGCTCAAGATGCATCCCAGAATGAAATACTAAATATTTGCTATTGAAATAAATGGATGGATGAATAAAAATATCCAAAAACAAGGAGTAAAATATTTGCAGGAAACGAAAACATCTAATATAATCGAAAAAATTTGGAGAAATTCAAGTTAGAAAGCGACCGAAGTGATACAATTCCTCAACAGAAGTAAATCAAATTTTGAATATAAACGTTAAAAATCCAGTTCGGCGCTTTAAAGGTTTGAATTCCAGGTTCACGGAGATATGGTAGAATTTGAGTCTTCAGGCATTGAAGTATAAACTACCAACCATTAGCCACTTACGATTTTTGAAACAAGTAAATAGGTGACGAGCATTAATGTTTTTGCGATCTCGTCATCAGGTCAGTACCTATCTAATGGTTGCTTAACTACAGCCGAGGCAGTCACTATACGCCTGCAAAACCCGATACTGTGCTGTCAAAAACGTTTCGTACGAACGCTGAGTCTGCCTTGGTCATGTGACACGAGCCAACCGGTCAAGTCACTCAACATCCATCTTCACTGTCTCACAGCATTCAACTAGATGCGACTTTTGAGGGGGGCACACAACCAATCGCTTGTGTCTCCACGTTTTGCATTTTACTAACCAATCTTCACAGCGTATTTCATTTCTCGCTCCTATTTTAACTATTACATATGTACTGACCTGATGACGAGATCTCGAAAACATTAATGTTCGCCACTGTGTAATTTTTCAAACCATGGGGGTGTTTAAGTAAGCAACTAAGTGTATTTTGTTAAGTGATAAATATATCACAGCCTTGATTACTCAGATGGTATAGGTCGCGGTGACCGAAAACTGGACTTCGAAGTAGCAACGGCAGTATCATCCATAAATCCGTGACACTTCAGTGGCAATCTTTAGAAAACCAAACCAACTTATTCAGATCAGTGTCTGTAGGGCGATATCAAAACACGGTAGACTAGTGAGAACTAGACTACATAAAACAAGTAACTGGGTTGCTTCCAACTGTTTCGCCGTGTCGTTTACTTATAGCTGTTATATTGTAAGAGTGTTAGTGTCCGGAGGGAGTACCGTTTTGCTTAAAGAATGACACGAAAGATTGAGATGTGAAAGTCATCATTTCAACACACATAACATAACCTTGAAAAACGCTAGCTTTGCTTAGAACCAAAACAAACCAAACAAACAATATACTTCTAAAACCTGATCCGGCCATTTTGATCCAAAGACGCGCTGGAACAAAACGGCTAAAATCTGAGTTGAAAAACTATACGTTTTGTCCTGATTAAGCTAACATTTCCATATTTCTCTCTCCTAAAAAAACTCCCGCGTTTCTTTTCACAACTAACTATTACTTGCAACGCCTGCGTGTTTCTACAACAACGCTGGGACATCGGGAACCAACTAGGTGAGAGTGGACGCGTTCCAATCTCAGACATCCCAGTCCAGACGGATTGAAGCAAACCAAGCATGAAAGGACGTGCAAAACATCGTCCGCCGTAACAGTGCTTGCATTACCAGACTTCTTCATCCTAAGTAAAGAAGGAGCCAACTGTCCAGATCATATCAGTTTTCGATGTGATCAGCTAATGTTGCAGCACTATTACAACGGACGAATTGTGTTTTTAATGCGTACCTTAGTGGATTTCCGGTTCACTTGGCGATGAAAGCCAAATGCAGTAGATATAGTGCCTTGTCTCGTAAAAAGTGTGTACGATTACAGCCTCCAAGTGATTTGGGAGGGGAAAAAACAGCCTGATAAATTTTTTGGTGGCGTACAGATTGTTTGAATTTGAATTTGTTTACAAAACGCAGAAAAGCACACCCTTTTCCAGGCTTTTTTCATATTTGACAAGAGTAAAACAAACGGCACATGTGTTAGGCAATCAAATTAAGTTGTATTTCTGCCCTTCGGGTTGTAATCAAAATCAAAAAATTTTATTGAAATACCCCGGGTTTCGATCCGCGTGTAATAGTTGAAAAAAATAAAACGAATGCTGGCAATGTGTCTCTATATATATGGGGTAAAATATTGTAAAAATTGTGATCAGTCATGTTGCACTGAGAATAAAAAGCAACCAATTAAATCTCGTTCTCTAAATGTTCTCTAAAACTAATAAAAATTCTTTAAAAAAATCTATCACACAATTTGTTAAGATGTCAAATTCGGTGAATGTTCACCAGCCTTTCCTCTTGCTTAATAATATGTTGGTAGACAAAACCGTGAGAAGCATATCTTTCTGGTTGTGATGTTTCTCATCCAGGGTATTGTCCCAGGGCCATTTTGCGTTCTGCTTTAGATCAAACATGCGTTTTTCGAAAGCATTCAACATTAAATTAACCCGCCTGAATTTCATCATTTGTGAATAGTGTCAGAATTTCTATTAATAGTTTTGCGTTCATGAAAACTATACTGATCTAATGGATGGCTTGCTAGCCACTTCTTACCTCAGCTTGGCTGCACAAAAGACCCTAGTTATTTGGTTTTGCCATATGTTCAAATCTCCGTGTGCTCAGTTGCATTTTAAAAGTGAAATAAACTGCCTGCAATTTCGGCTACCGATAGCTCAAATGGGACCAGGATGGCGATGAGCTACCGAGTAAAACATGTTTGGAAAATACGTTTGCTCGTTTCAAAAAATGTGCTGTTGCTTTCGTTTTGCATCGTGTGTAAAAAAACAGACTACTTACATAGCATAGGTCATCCAGATTCCCGAAGAGATTGGAAGGTTCCACAAACATCAAGTATCCGTCAACTTGCAGTTTTTTCAGGGGCTCCATGAAACACTGTGTGATGGGATAAAGTCATCATGATTCAATAAACACGTAAGAGATTAACTAAAAATTTGAAGGTTTAGCTATCATTAGGCGCTATGTTGGGAGAGGATAGTTTGATATGTAATACAAATTTAAGGTTGCCGCTTATACTGTGCAAGCTGAGGACAACTCACTTGTCCAAGTGAACTTCTCCCCCGTAAAAAACGGGCTTTTTTATTATAAAATTATTTTCCCAGCGTCATCAGCGATTCAACATGGAGGCGTCAAAATCTAACACGTGGTACATATCAGTCTACTAGTAATTCGTTGAAATTAATATGTCCATTGGCAATGGCCTCAGTTCGCCATAAAACTGTTAACAAAAACGGTGCACTAACGTTGAGCTGACGTTATCATATCGGAATTTTTTTGACGGTGAATATGGTGATTATAAGCTTATTGTGCAAGTGTTGCATGCAGTTGCTTCGCAATTGAGGGTTTGTCGGATTTGAGATGCTACCCAATTCATTTAGTTAGCAAGAAACAATTTTAAATATTAAACTACACACACAATCCCGTATCTCTGAGTGGTAGTGGGAAGCAAACAGGCTCAAGCCCGATTGCATCACATTTGGCCGAAACCAGTCGTCATAGACAAGGAGCAAGCCTTCACCATCATATACCGAGTACCTCTAAACGGATCACGACTGGTACAATCCAGACTACTATCGTCTGCAGAGGCGATTGGAATCTAACTGCTGGATCCGCACTTTGCATCCAGAAGAAATTTGTGTGACCCCAGAACTTGAACTGGCCTACGAAACATCCGGTCCCACAAGTCTGTCTGACATTGACGTCACTTACCTGATTCCGTGACCCATTGACCTATCTCTCATTCAACCCCCCTTCCTTTGATTTCTATTTCTCTAAAGTGTATATAGCCCTGATTTCAACCTTTTCCTCGTAATTTCCGCTGCCATATAAATTTATGATGTATTAACCAAGAGGAACAATCACAAGAAACAAGCTTTGTTCACTACCTTCTTCATTCTCATGATTACCAGTCAACTGGTAGTAACCATTTTTTGATCTGGCTTTACTCGGTGCAGTTGGTTTGTAGTCTACAACTTCAACTGACTGTCTTCAGAGCGGCTACTTGCCTTATTATCGATGTAAATCACACACAAAAGCATGCTCTGTTATGCTACAAAGGGCTTTTGAAAACAATCCCGACATCCAGACACATCTTTTCAAATTAGCTGGAAAGCTCAATTGAATCAATTTTTAAAATAACGATTAGATACTCGCAAAACATGAACAAACAATAGTCTATTCCTTGTGGTTACACAGGATTAAAAGACGTAAGCTGATGTGTCTTTGATAAACCAACCGAGAACCCGGGAAAACAATTCCTCGAAATTCTATCAATTTTTATGGAACATGTCTCAGAGAGAATAGAAACACAATATTCGAAACCTACAGCTGAGATTTAGGTAATTCTATTTTACTTTTGGCAGGGCTTCGGGAACTGTTTTTCACACGACCTTGCTTTGTCAGCTTGCGCCAACAAAAAACGGCCTTGATTATTACGTCAATCCTGTCATTTGCTGATACAAATGCTGTCATCTATCAATAGGACTAATTCAATCATTGTATGCGTGTAGCCATAAATGTTCTGCACTACTGCGTAACCGATAGTGCATCACAAACGTATCATAAGACGGGTGGATTCCAATTCATGTAACCAAATGAAAATGAATTAATGGAGAAAAGCAAACAACAGTATCATAAAAAATCAAAGTAACACAAACAACGGAGTGAAATGTTTCAAAGTAACGCATGGATCAGCAGGTCAACAACCAGGCAGGCTTGGATACTTGGAAGATAAGGGTTGAAATAAAGACTGGTGATATGTCAATTCTGCGAGATATCCACGTATTTTTTAAGAAGATATGACGTCACTCTCGTAAGTAAACAAATCGACATCAGTTGGCAAAGTATACTTCTCTGGTTTATCGACGTAATGTTTGGTCTCAAATTGGAAAGGTGTGTGTTCACGCAACAAATATCAGGGAGGGAGAACCAGTGTCATTTCCTGAACCAAGGTATATTGTGGCATTATTATTCGAAGACGGTCATCGCAATGCATACGGTCTCGGTGTCTTCTTTGTTCGAACTATTCTTCCAAATCGAGCGTCATGCGCATTGCTGTTTATGGATGGATGAACGTGGAAGATATAGTGGAACTCGCTAATTAGGCAAAGGTTTATGCTGGAGTACATAGAAAGGCCTCTGCTGATTCGCCTGTCGAGTCCATACCTCATATTAATGAATCTATTCAGTGCATACTATTGCTTGGCATCCCTTAGAACATGTGATTTGTGTTTCCGACCCAAGAGGTCAGAAAACTTGATGAATGTAAGCTAACTCATCGGCACTGATGCCTTGACTTCAGCTGATATCTGGAAAATATCCAGTGAGTTTAAATCTGCGCACGGACAGTTTTCCTTCCCGAATTTAGAGATGTATATCCAGAGAACGAAAATTGGGACGCGTGATGTATCCCTTCTTTGGTGCAAGGACGCCCGTCTGAGAATGGTATACTGTCCGCGTTAGCGCCTTTCGTTGGTTTTTGAGTGTAAGAGTCATTGAGGCATCCCAATCAACAGTACATTCATCACAACGGTTTGGACAGTAGTTATGGAGAACCACCCGCCGATTACCTGATTTTATATGCAGTGACCGTCAACCTGGAAGGATATGTCGAACATCTTCTCCCAGCGCTTTCTACCCTCTAAAATCACGTCCCAACAATGTGCTGGCTGTAAGACACATCGTCAGAGCAACGCATCCGTTGCGAGATGGGTGGCAGTTATATCAAACTTGGCATCGATAACTGACGTGATCAAATATTTGGATCAGGGCTGAACCTCTTGTATGTAGAACGACTTCGACTATTCGGGACGTTGACGCGACAGAGTTGCAGTCTGCCATTCTGTTCAGGGTTTGACTTCCTTGGCTTTCCATGCACGTATTTTATAACACGAGATGCACATCCGGTCTAGCCGTGTTATGTGCGTGCGACTGCCTACAAGATTATCTTTCAAAATACCTGAAAGTCTTATATGTCCACCACCCTCGTCTTTGGTTTTCCTGATAATTAGCTGTTGCTATAAGGAAAATACATTTAGAACGTGACGGCTTGGAGTGAATAAATAGTGTCCAAGCAACAACCCTATACAGTTCTGGGACTGAGGCGGCTGATTTAAACAGGAGTACACCTGATTCCGTCACTGTAGGTAACTGATATTGCCATCTTGGTTTTTCAAGTGTGGAGGCATCCTCTAACGCTACTTGTATGAATAGGACGAAAATTACCAAGATATACTTCTCATATTACAATTTTCTACCCAGGATACAAACATGATTTGTTTGCTAAGGTGTCTCCTTTCTTTCGGAAATCTGGCGATCGCGACTTTCTGTCATTATTTGACTTTGATTGCCGTGCAACGGCTTGATGCCATGCTTGTTAGATCCATGAGGTAGATATGAGATTATCCGCCAGTATGTAAACATCTGTGACAGCTTTTGGCGCCGGTCTCAGGCGGAACAGTTATGTCTGCTTTTAAGTGAGCGCGAGATGCTGTTTTCGCTCAAAAAGAGAAGTTCCATGTAGGGAATGATCTTACTCCATTGTAGACTGTCTCCGCAAAATAGTTTGTTAACTGCCGTCGAAAAACAGAACTACTAATGTTTGTGAGTGGATCAGGTCGATCATTCGCATCCTTAGAGGGAACCAACCATTCATTCAGGAAGAGGTCAAAATCGAGAATAAGAAAGGTTTCCAAAAATGTCAGTTTTCTGTTGTTTAGAGGTCAGTCTGTTTCCCGGCCTCCTAATAGGCCTCGTAACAGGGTTAAAAACGGAGATGTTAGGCACCTGTTCAGATTATATTCTGTTGTTTTACTTTCCGTCACTAGCAGGCAATTCGGTCTTGAAGGCCATAAACGCGCTACCTGAAACAACGTCTGTCTAGCGACGACTACCACCAAACAGTGGTACTTTAGTGGGCACGGTGAGATAAAACTGAGTTCATAAACCCATGTGGCTGCTAAATTGCTCGACAATAGTACGCCACGGTAAAAAAATTGTTTTCGCCCTAAGTAAAACTGAGTGCGAAGAAACAATTTTCGGGTCAAAGGAGACAATAACCGTGTAACCTATGCAAATTCTTGGAAGCTACCCGATCGATTTGGAAGCCAAAACACCAACAGGGATAGCATTGCCAAGCACGGTGGAAGTTGCTATCCGTGGATTCTAGTAGTATCAATACAGAGTTGGAGAGGTGGAAAGTGCAAGACGAATTGTTTTCCCCTAAGTAAAACTGAGTGCGAAGAAACAATTTTCGGGTCAAAGGAGACAATAACCGTGTAACCTATGCAAATTCTTGGAAGCTACCCGATCGATTTGGAAGCCAAAACACCAACAGGGATAGCATTGCCAAGCACGGTGGAAGTTGCTATCCGTGGATTCTAGTAGTATCAATACAGAGTTGGAGAGGTGGAAAGTGCAAGACGCTGTTGTCCCTATAAAACTTTGGTTCCTTGACATAGTTAGCTGGAGTCTTGCTGATTGTGGACCTGTTAGTTGATATTGCCTTCATCATGCGAATCCCGGTTTTTCTTTGATGAAACTTTGAGGTTCACAGTAAATCAATGGCAATAGTTCAGAGAATATGTTAGACAACTCAACGTACAATAGCTTCAAAGGATAATTTAAAAAAGCACAGTATTGACCGAAATAAACCAAATCAAGATCAGCTATACCGTGACCTTCAAATGTGATCGGGGCCCTGATTCCCAAAACTGCTGACTAACGGTCACTGAATTCCGTAGTCTCGGAGTGTTTATGCGAGTCCGTTAACGGCATATCGGGAGACCTTTTGAAGCCTTGAAGTTGCCCTGATGCAATTTTTAAGGACCGACTGAATGAAGTTGGAATCTCTTTATTATTTTGAATTACCGGCTTATAGAATTTTTGAAGTACAGTATCCACCGTGACTTTTGCGTGTATAATTCCTCTGATGTTCACCTCAAACGCCATACTATTTTCAGCATCGAGTGTCATGCAGGTGATTTTTTAGGCCACATTGTGCAGAAGAAATAAACCGTACACCACTTGGAAAAGCGTCAAAAACATTATATGTTGTCCACTCTCTTGATTCAGATAGTTGAATTCTCCCATGCACAAAGCTGTTACTTCAGAGGTTTATACATTTTCACGCCACAAATAATCAGAAACGTTTAAACGAGTACACAATCATTTAACAAGCTCTAATTTTTGTTTTCTTCCGAAATCAATTCTGGTGCGGGTGTGCGAGAGTTTGACAGTATGCAGCGAATTATCGGGGGGCATTTCTTGTACGAAGCAATCGATAAGTCCAGAAGGATAGAATATGTGTGCTCTTTGTTTTGGGGTAGGGGCGCGATTCTGCCCCTATTTTTCATCATTACATTTGCATCAGATTAAAGAAGAAAGTAGAGCTGCGAATATGCTATTTATTATGAAGGATAGAAGTGCTCTTTGTTTTGGGGTAGGGGCGCGATTCTGCCCCTATTTTTCATCATTACATTTGCATCAGATTAAAGAAGAAAGTAGAGCTGCGAATATGCTATTTATTATGGATTATTTTAACCTCTTAGAATGTCAAAGCACGGTCAGCACCTTCTGCAAAGGTATTAAGGTGCAAAACCAAATGTCCACAGATGATAAGAACTACATGAGTTGCGTTGTAACACGCAACAAACGGGGTAAGAAGCAAACGCCCGTCCAGCAGCTAATTTCAACAGTGTAAGAAAACCGGTGAAAGTTGCAGCTGCGCTGGCTGACATATTCTCATGAAAAGACTGCAGACTAATTCGGATGCTACTACGTAATGACCAACCGCCGTACCGCATCGTCGCGGGCTGCTGATAATCGGTTTGGCCGAGCGACCAACGATGAGCGTGACCGTGGGAACAGGTAGGCTATTGAACAACGATGGTACAGCAGTGTAAATACGACAAATGCTACACCTAGTTTGACGTTGATTCCGGGAATTCAGTGTTATTGATGAGCTTGATCTAAGTACCCAACACTTCACTACAGAAACAACGTTGTTTTTGCTTTACAAGGTCGCAGAAAGCTAGTCACGTTAGAACTATGATCGTTCGGGTAAAAAAATACTCGAAAGGTCAGGTGCGCGCCTGCTGCCAAACCAAATTAACGCATACTTTAATTCATGTTGTGGGGTTTCCGGGATATGTATTGTTCATATTTATATCACTCTCGTTTCAACAGTCGTTCTCCTGTTTTGGCGTAATTATTCTGGTCAGTCTACACCCAAGGAGGGGGGAGAAGAACTCAACCCGGGTTTCGCTCTTATTAGAGCTCATCGGCAGTGCACATCCAATGGCCATGCTGGAGATTGAACTCCGGACAGCGAGGTGAACGTGTCACCACTATTCCGCCAGGGCATGTTGGACGCATCTGAATTGTCAAGTCTGAACGGGTGAACGTGTTCACGCTTGAGCATGACTTGTTTGTATAGTGAGCGACATCTAGGTAACGCACCAGACCAAAAGTACTACACCAAAACGAACTTTTTAAAAAGTGTTTCATATTTCGAGGCGGCAAGTTATGCCGAATACCACTACTAAACAGTATGGTTGACGGTCTTGTGTGAGGCCTAATCTCCGACACAGGGGTCAGCTGAAGAGAATTACCACAGAAAATAAGAAACTCCTTGTCCGCTGTTAATCAGTGCTGACGGACGCTAATCAAGTCTTGCCGGGGATAACTTTTATTAAGCATGCTTTGAAGACGATCCGATTGAGGACAGACCCTAACCTGCTTTGAATCGATTAAGTACTCGCCGAATTACTGGCATGTACCACCACACAATATGTGGCTCACACTATTTGACAGGTGCTTTTCAGATGTCTCGCCTATACCAGCGCTTCGTTTTCCGCTAGCAATGGTTGATCGTCCACTCTAATTTTGATCGGTTTTGTGTATCTTTATTTAGAGGAATAGCGGGAACAAATCCTCTAAATTTGTGTGAATCGGTTGCACACTCCTTACCCCGTTTACAGACGCCCTTCACATTGGATTACTGTGCTCGTCACATTCTGTTAATCCCCTGCATAGAGAGATAAGTTTCAGAAAACTGTCTAGTGGTGATATATAGAGGGTGTAAAACTGACCGACCGCTCTGGAAATTTCAAGAGGGCATACAAACAAATATGTTAAAAAGTGATTTGTTATTCACCGTGGTACGTATGCTTCTCGGGGATCTATGTTGAATGGAATATATACAGTCACGAGTCGACTGGACAAAGCAGTATCGTCGACGTTCACGACTGACGGTTAGTCCTGGACATTATCAACGTTTGATAGTTTGAAACCATTTGGAGGTAGAACAAACTTGAGACTTGGAATTAGTCCTTAAAGAATGTGTCTCATTCTTTGACGATTGATGAGTATTTATAAATGATACTGAAATGTGACTGTTATGACACAGAGTCTCAGTACTCCTTAAACAGAAACACGCTAAATGAAAAATGAAAATTCTTGTCACATTCGTGATAACTGTCTTAAACGGGAATACCCACAAAGCAACCAGTTGATTTCACCTATCAGATGTATCATTTCAGCGGGGAGGGGGAAGATACTCCGTTTACAAAGACGTCTTGCCTTAAAGCATCAACACGAGAATATTGAGTGGGTTTCGAAAGCAGAGCTATGCAATACGCTTTGGGTTTTTTAGCCAGTTTCCCCAGGTGTCATTTCCAAAGCTGTCGATAAGCTGAATGGATTTGAAGGCAAACTGAAATATCCTCAACCATTATTAATTCAAGACCAATTCCTTCGTCATTGGTTGGTTGTTTTTATGATGGCGATCTCAACCGGGCCGATATGTCAGTCCAGACTTTGTGATCAGGCGGCAGTCTGGGTAAATCGTTGTGGCGTGTACCAGGTTGAACGCATATTTTATTCATAGTCATGCCACTCTCGTTTGAACTGTCGTCCTCCTGTTCTGGCGTAATTATTCCTGTGAGTCCGCATCAAAGAGAAGCACTGGACTCGAGTTTCGCGCTTATGAGAGCTCATCAGCTGTGCATATCCAATGACCATGCCGGGATTCGAACCCCGGACATTTAACATGAGAGGCGAGCGTGTAACCACTACGCCAACAACGTGCGTTGAGCGCATTTGAATTTTCACGTCTGAACAGGCGAATGTGTTTACACTTGAGCGATGTGATATTATTTGCACTTCATAATCCATTTTGTGAAGGTGTCTTGTAGATTTCACGCTGTAAGCGTTTAAGTTAGTAGTATGTGTGTAAGTAGTTTGATTAATTGGCAGCGAGTTCGCCGTTTCACCCTGCATTTAGTTTTATCCTTTTTTTGGTAAATCAAAGCCTTCGAAATTGTGTGAACCAAAGTGATAGTGCACCGGGAAACGTTTAAAAAAACATGGGTTTAGAGTCATTGGCATACCAACGGTGCTTGAGCTTTGGACATACATTTCACACCATTCATATTCACCTCTAAATATTATGGAATGATCTGTGTTACTGGCGACTGGGAGAAGACTAACCCCGAATTACTAATTAGATGAAAAAGAATATCTTCCATGTTGACCATGAAAAATATTCGCTAGCCAGCTTAATAACTGCATTCATCGTAGATCGAATTCTAGACAGCTAAGCATGGCGTTTTTAAAAATGTGGGGCATCAAAACTCGAGCTCTATGTTTACCCCACGAAGACGATTTGATCACAACTCGTTTTCTCCCAAAAGAGGAGTGACGGAGACTTTGGTTGGTCAGAGAATTGTTATATAACTTCACATCAGATGAAACCAAAGTGAGCTAGACGTGACCAGAATATTTTAACCAACAAACTGTGTTCTATCAGAATCAGTGTAGATGGATTGGATTGGGTAGAGATTTATACTGAAATATAAAAGGCGGGCGATCGGTTAGTTCAAATCATTTGCTGGGTTTCCACCCACAGTGACATCATGGCACGACAGCGTAATAAACTTCAACCTTTTTAGATGAGCTTCAGTGACCTTGATGATTGGCAGTAAATTCAATACCTGAGTTGTAGATCTAGACCGAAAGCAATTCAAGGTCATTTGGCTAAGCTGGCTGTTCAGTTTAATTTGATCTAGTTTTATACTACTGATTCCAGGAATACAATCGCCACCCGCAAACTTTCTTGGCGATGAATCTCACTTCATATTGTAAACGGATGTTTCTTGAAGTTGAAAAGTTCACCTGCCTGTGGCCACATAGTAATTAGAAAATGAATTTTATCAAATGATCGGTTGTAAACTAAATGCTGTGTATGCGAAATGCAGTGTAACAAGATGGCTGCAATAGGTATGTAAGAACACGGTGATTCATGTTTCGCTGAACGCCTCATCCATTCTGCGCTCAATCCATGTGTTCTGGTGCTTAGTTGCTTAGTTTACAAAGTACAAACTTCATGTTTAAGATACAGTTGTAACAATCAATGAAACGGCACTAAAGTATTAAGGCCAGGTAGCCCGGTCAGATTCCACATGACTGACGGCCGGCGTTCAATACCGAAAATGGAACACCGACAGTTTACTCGTTGTGAAAACATCTTGACTAGAGAAGTCAGATTGTATCGGTAAGACATGATCAAGTCTGCCTCATTTGAGTGTGATGGCTGCAACGTCCTCGCGTTTAAAAGCTCGTTAGCCAAAAGTCCATTTTTGAAGTGGAAAAAAACAGTAAGCCAAGCCGTCCTGTTTTTTTTGGGATTGATAGAACTCAGTCGGTTTGTACGCGACTAGTTTGAGGACGGGTATAGAGACAACTCTAACGTCGACGCATTTCAAATCTTTTAGACACAACGAATATGCAAGCATGAAGGAGGATAAAAGCAATAAGTGGTCTGTTTTGAATGAACTTTTCAAGAACACCGTCTCATCGGAAATCCTCTAGAGCGGTCACTAAAGTGCGTGCACGGTAAGAAACCCTACAAAATATAAAACGTTCTAGGTATAAATATATGCTCACATTTTTCAATACCATCAGATGGTCTACGCAAAATATGAGTTCGCTTTTGAACAGCTCCCACACAGCTTCGCGTCTGCAAATTTCTCTGTCGGACATCATGATTGCTTCCGGATCCAGTGGCTGTGTCCCCTCATCTTTGGTAAGCTGGGACCAATGTGAATCCTGTGTGAAATGAGGAAACAGTGAATCAATGAACGCAAGACATCTAACTTTCAATAAAACAAGCGAATTTGAATGTCATAACTCAGCCTATTTTGAGCAGATTACCGTAGAGCACTTAATGTCAATACCTGAGTGACAAACTGATCTCAGTTAATCGTACGCGGCTAGAAAATAAGACGGAAGTAAACCACTTCACTCACAGAAAGTGTGTGTAGACATTCATTTGCTGTTCAGCACACGTCGTTCGAGGTACATATTTCTCTGGGATTGTTTAAAAATTGAAACTTTAAACTTTGCAGAGAACTACCCATCACTCAAACGGTCTTCAGGTTGACAGAACTCTTGAGATCCGAGACTAATCAGTTTAGACAGCACCCTCAGAATGAATCCAGTTCACAAAAGTTAGTTGTTTCGCTCTTGAATTTTTTGCGGTTGGCCTGCAGACAGAGGAACATATTCTTTGTGCTCAAAACCAAAAGTGTGAGGAAATCACCACCAGTGACCGGCAAACAATTAATCGGGCGCAAATTCAAAGGATGTCCAGTGAAAACATAAAAGGTTAAACGATTCGCTCAATGTTTGGGTTAGTTTTCAAGAGTCACATCAAAAGGTCCTGCAATAAGTTATCTTTTTATTTGTTGTGTTGGTGTGGAGTTATTTGTTTAGCTGCACTCAAACTGCATGATTTGGGGGAACGCGACCTTGCTTCTCAAACTCTGTACTCATTTCGGCTTGTCCAACTGGGTCTGTTATTGCGGACACCTGAAAACTAGTCTTCATGAGAACTGAAGTACTACACAACTCAGGTTGGATAGACAACACCCTCAGTCCAAGATCGCAAACAACAAGTAATTCAGCTTCAAAAATTTCTGGTTCCGAGCACCACAGAGCGATTATTACTATTTTAGTTGTGATGCGAGTAAATAGTGCTTTTGAAATAGCATTAGAACTTGGCAGCTTATCTTCCATCATTCGCCATCACCGAACTCAAATGTGTTACTCAAAAAATACCGACAGAGTGGAGGCGAGCAATGTGAATTTTCATGGGATTCATTATCACAAATTGCTACGCACGAGCATCTTTAACGCGTGAGGAATAAAAGGTATTTTATTGCTTCATCAATGCACGCATTCGTGATTTGGGGACCTTAGGTAGTGTTTTCATAGTCAATGCTTATTTGGAACGTGCGTTGATTGGTCGGATGTCCACAACAGTACTGAATGTACGACAATTCCGATTAACCTCATAGCTCTCTTCATTAAAGTAGTTTTGGTGAGCTAGATTGTACATTCACTTCGCTGCCTTTCCGTTCGCACTCCAGTGAACAGGCAAATGTCAGTATGTCCGTTCAACTTTCACATCCCATTAACTTTAACGAGCCGTTCTGCGTTTTATGTCAATCATTGGGGAGCTTTATGTTGGACTGGTCACTTTTATACCGTTATCATTAGGTTTTTGAGGCGGAACTTTGAAAGCAGACCGATAGCTAGGAAACAAAGACAGACGGGGAGAAAAATCGTTGCGGCGAATTAATCGTTGGACTCGCTATTATATCCTGTAAAACGGAACGGGAAAACAATGATGAAAAGGTTTATCGATTTCACATGAATGTAGACAGCGAGTAGTTGACCTGTAGTCTATATATCACAAGAATAAGTTTATTCCCATCAAACCGGTAGTCGACATTTTATCTGATCGACTTGGCCTGAGGTTCTGGACACGCTCCTTTTGTGGAAACAAACTGGGATCATGCCAAATATGTTTAATGATTATAGATCTTTCCAAGTTTTGTGATCGAGTGGCTTTGTAATGTTCGGTTGGAACAAGAATATTCAACCATTATTCTTCTTATTTACTTTTGTCTTTACTTCGTCAAGGCAGTGCTTACAGTCTGTCATGGAAATTTTTCTCGAGGTTTTCCCCATTGGTCTAGCAACAGAGGAACCGCACAACGAATAAGCAGACATACTTTAGACATTAAATGTTAAACGACCGACTGGTTAGGTAAACTGTCAGTCTCGGCGCGTGATCACCAAATCTCGTATTTCGTCACATTCACGAAGAACATCGTTAATAAATGGCATTCAGATAGTTTGTTTCTCCAACCAGATGCAAATTTTGTAACCATGTGCTATGCACGCGATATGATGTGCAAACAGACCAGACTGAAGACAGTTTTGAAGAGCTGATATCCGTGCTGTCTGTGTGAAGTTTTTTTTTACGAATAAAGGAAACCCATTGAGAAATACACTTGTTTGCATTTATTTACTTTCATAATGTTCTGCAATGTCTTGAAAATCGTGCCAACTGAAACATGAGGTGGCATGTGTGCAGCACAATCAGTTGCAGGACATCATAAACGAAAGATTCAACTGAGTCTTTTGTGCAAACCAAATTGATTTGCAGATGAGTGTCCCTCTCGAGAACAGTCCACTTTGGGTTCGAGTAGAGCATAAGGTTGACGGATACTTGGGGACTGCGCCTACCTGATGAGCCCCAAGAAGGGCGAAACCTGTCGTCGCCTGTCAAAGAGTTTTCAGCAACCTTGTGAATAGTTTCCTTTATGAAACTTGTTGGGGGTTTTTCTAGTCATCGCTTACTGATATCACATGGTACATGCTGTGAAATTAACGGCGAAATGCAAACTGAGTCCAATCTTTGCTCTTTTCTAAATCCAAAAGCAATGGGTTCCGACCGGGCTTCATCATCAATCAACAAGGTATCCTGAGCAGAATATTACTAAAAATTAACGGTGTCCCGATACTGACACTCCCATATGGGAATCCTGTTTCGTTACCTCATTTACTTTTGGAGAGTCTTCCAATGTAGTAGACTGCTAAGATCCAACTGGCTGTCCCTCAAGAGGTGGTATATGTCCTAACGAAGCAACCAACTAGGTTTTTGTTTACCTTGTTTATTTGGAGATCATACTTCAACTCAGTGGCCGCGCTTAAATACCCGTGAAAGGAAGAAGGCCTTCGCTGCGGAGTTACTTATTGGAAAATGTCAACTGACCGGTTACAGACTATTAGACAGGGAAGCCAAACCCTCATTTGCATTTTATTCATAAAAACTGGACATCTATCCATCTTCTCTTGGACGCAGCTTGTTGAACTTTCCTGGATATTCATTGAATCCAATCATTCATCGCTCAAATCCAAGAAAAGGTTCCAGAGCGAGTCCAAAAATTCCGTAACAGATGTCCCCTTTTAAAGAGACCCAATCGAAATTCCACGAACAACACTAAATACTCGCATGCCTCTCCTTCAGTAGCATCACCGTTACACGCGTATAATAATTCAATGAACCTCCGTTGTTAAGAGTCCTGATTAACCAAATTTACTTCATGGGAAAAACCATTACAAAACTTAACTATTGGCGGATGTTATGAATTAGCTGTTCATGATTAGGTTGCCCTACGCACGATGAACTGCTTCGTTACCGGGTGCAATCTGTTCTCCTTCTAATAAGAGAAAATACGACGAGCAAAAAGACGAAAAAAAATCAAACGTTGCGCTATGGATTACCGAGCGGCATAAAAACTCCAAAATGGGCGATATGTTTTTCGGTCACGTATGCAATTTACATTGAGCCTTTGTAGAGACTCAGCAACGGACGAATATAGGCAATTCGTGGAACGGAACCAAACGTACCCGAAACGACTCCAGGTAGTGATCGTGAAATCGCGATGGCGTCAATCGTCCCAGGGCATCACACAAGTCCAGCAGAGATTCTTTTGATCGGGATCTTCTTTCAATCTGGAATGTTTTTGAAAAACGCAATTCTAATTCCTTTCTTTAGGAGAATTCAGCATTTTTGTTAAATATATATGCTTCTGATAATTATATAGAATCAAAGCTCGTCACGTGAAAATCTGGGTCCAATCCAAAACGCCTATTCTATTCTCTCATAAGTTTCATTAGTCTCACCGAATGTTACCTCCATTCTGTTCATCAGCATGCCATTTTTATTTCCTAGCTAAGCATTCGTTGTTCTTTTATACTCAAAAAGGTTTGTAATGACAAATTACCGTTTAGAGAGTTCTCTGCTTATATTCAACCTTTTCGATTATGCACTGGTTATTAGTGATTTGACAGTATCATTGGAGATGCACAGTTTGGACTTGACCCACGAACATTCTGGCCAAGTGATTCGCTCTCTAATCACAGAGTCAACTTCAGATATTTCGTACATATAGGAAACGAGACATGTGATGGAACTATCGTGGACCTTGAACCTCATATCTTTGACAGTGTTACTAACTTGTTTGTTTTCACCAACTCAGATGAACTGATGCGGTTTATATTGTAGGATTACCGGCTGTAGAAAAAAATTAACTCACCAACTTCAGAAAAACGTTAGCTCTTCTTTTTGGATCTGAAACAAATTTGAACAAAAATTCTATCTAAAATGTATTCTGAGGTTGATGTTTAAAAAAAGCCTTTTGTGTCAATCAAAAGTGAGTCGTAATTTTGCCCTACGTGTAAGAAAGTTGTACTACTTTCGTTGTTCGACAGTTTGATCGATTTGTCCAAGTTTAAAGCCATAAAGTTGTTGTCATCATTTTTGGGGTTCAGTCGCACAAAAGACGAACAAGTAAAAAAAGAAACAAGGTAGGGGAAGTTGTGTGTGACAAGAGTGCAAAGTTGCAGGTGACCTACCCGGGCCGGATACCAGAAAGCTACATCAGCGGTTGGACACCCAAAATTTGACAGACAGTACCAAATCTCTTGCGGTTTACCAGTTATCGAATCCAGTAATGATATTCTTATTCGGTTGTTGTTACGATATTTTCGTCATTTAGGTTCAAAGTTTATCAATGAAACAAGCTCATCCTCAACCATCAGATAACGTGACGTGCTGAGCGAGGAAACTACGGTTTTATTGAAAGTGTATTCGGCCACTTCTGTTGCGTATAATATCACCGCGGATCAGATCTGTCGGGTTGACAGAAATTTAGCCATGCTCGTAAGAGAAAGTTAGCAACTAGAATTTGGAACTGAAACTGGAAATCCTGGGTTGTCTCTGTCCAGCAGCTTAACATTAATCTCATCTCCTAGCCGATCGGCAGCCTCAGACGAAAAATGTGCTTTGCGTTCTGTGAGTTACTTCATGCAGGGCATGGTGGTGAAGTTTGATTTAGCTGTCATTGTTGGGATGAAGTAATGAGGGTCAGTTTTGTCCTTTCTCTCGACATTATATAACACGCCGATTGTGCAAAGTTTACTCCTATGTGCTCTATCGATTGTCTTTGCGTCATTAAACAACCTGTCTTTTCCCAACCACATCCTACGGGGGCGTTTTGGCCTTTCCAATTAAATGAAACAAGAGCAATTTTAACAGGCTCTAAAGACTTTGTTTTATTACATACTGTTATGTTTTAGCGTTTTACTTAAAGTAAAATTACGCAAAACTGTATGTTTTATTCGAAGGTTTTCTTCTTGTAAGTGATTTATTTTTGGGGATAGCGCACAAAAAACGATGATTTTTCTCTTTTTCCTAAACAATCCACATGGTTCCGCTGCGGAAGTAGATTCTTGCTCAGTTTTTGTCAATCAACTTCAAAGTACCCATCATTATGCAGGTATACGTTGGTTCATTTTTAACGTGTCTCTGCCTAATGGAATTTCTATGGGCACTACCTACTTTCTAGGTGTATTTGAATACGATCAACAAGGACAGTGGGATATTTCGAGATATCTCTAAGTCAATGCTTGTATACTTGCATACTTATATGCGTAGATATGTATATTTATATGCATACGCACACATGAAAATGATGTTCACATATAAATTTACATATTCATGTTATTTATATTATATGTATATTATTATATTATACATTTATATATATTGATATTTATATTCATTCATATTTATATATTTATATTTCTATATGTATATTCAAGTGTATTTTTGTTCATATGCCTCCATCTTTATCGGAGTGTATGTCTATGGATACTCTAATTTTATTGACCAAGATATTTAGTAGGCTAATCAAGCCCTGAGGTTCCATCACCAGCTCCATTCGCAGCCCTCAGATTACCCGTTCTGTATTATTGCTGCACCGTATTCATATATACGTATATCGAGAGTGTTATTCTCCTTTCCAATAACAACGTTCTGTTCTATGAGTTGGTTGAGTTTGAGTGTTGAAAGTCCACAATGAGAGCGACAGAAAATATCTGATTTTGTATGAGATTTGATTACACAATCCAGTAGCATTGTTTCGCTTCAGGCAAGACTCGTATTTTAGTTCATCAGAAATCACTCCCCGGAGTTACCAATACGATATACTAATCATGAGACAAGTTGGCGATTACGTTTATGATACGACTGGGGGTGAATTTCCGACTGACTGAAAATAAGCTACAAGGCGCACGCTTACAGGTGGATTATCTCGTGAAGACCACATCTTACATTCGGCTGTATTCCCACAGTTGTAGAGGACTGTAAGAAAATGTTGTGAAACCTTGTTGCAGTTTTACAGTGTAGCCGGTTTATGCAAATTTTGTATTATGAATTATCGGTTGATTTACATTTTCAGGTTGAATTATACTTCACAATGTGACGTGGGTCGAAATACAAGGGATTGCATCTAAAAAAAATGAAAAATACTTGTGTGCTGGCTTGAAACTATGTTATAATTTCAA